GGAGTTTTGAGAAAAAAGAGGAGGAAGCAATGTGACCACGCAGGCAGAAATTGGAGTGATGTGCTACAAGCCAAAGAATGCCTGGAGCCCCCAGACGCTGGAAGAGGCAGAGTGGATTATGTCCTAGGGCCTTTGGAGGGAGTACCACCCTTCTGACACCTTGACTTCAGACTTCCGGCCCCCAGGACTGTGAGACAATAAATGTCTCTTGTTTTAAGCCACCCAGCTTCCGGTAACTTGTTACAGCAGTCCTAGGAAGCCAATACAGTGGGAAGAAGGTACAACTAATGGCTGAAGTTAGGTTTTGGGATTCCATACATGTTCATGGTTCTTCGGGCCCAAATAATACAAGTTGGTTGTATCGAGGTATTTAATTCTGTTGTAGACCCCTTAGTTGTTACTATAGAAACTATGAAGTTGTGAGGTTCTTGTCAGTGAAAGTATTGGAGGCTAGATAAGCACAGAGGGGATGCAATTAAAGGAATTCTTGCATTGGATAGAGATTGGCCTAGATGATCTCAGATCCCTTTCCACTGAAGCATGTATTTCCATAGAAAAATCTGCTTCCAAATATTGAGGCTTAACATTTTAAGGCTAATAATTAGAGTAGCCAAACCTATGGAGAATACATTCACCTGGGGAAGGTGTTTGAAGGTATAAGGTACTCAGGACTTATACTTTCTATATACTGTCCAGACCAGGAATTCTGAAGGCAATCTAGAGGCTACGGAAAATCCGCTAGTGGAAAAATAAGTCAAATAAGATCACTCATGTGTTTTCCCAAAATCACCAATTAGGACTTAACCCATGCCAACATTTCCAAAAGTATTTGCATGCTGTTGCCAATATCTCTCCCTTTGTTCTACGCTATTTTAGAGATTACACATTTCCTTATATCGTTAAACTGCCACAATATTAATAGCTCAGTGTCGAGTGGTAAGATAATAAGGGAGGCAAATTATTCTTCTCACTATCACTATATTCTTTTTTGGTTGAGAAAAAATGAAAAAGCAGGAGGCCCAGAGGAAGACACAGGTTATAGTGAATGTATACATAATAAAATCATGCTGTAGCCATATTCACTCTAAAATTTTTGGTGTCTCTCCTGTTGAAAACCTCATATAAAATATGTATTAATATGAAACACATGTAAGATAGTACTAGCTGCTATAGAACCTACCGGGTGTTTCACAAATGTTTATGGCTAAATTCCATATTTCATAAAACATTCTTTTATTACAGAAGACATTCTCTTATCACACGAATACAGAAAAGCCTGGCCTGGAATTATAGGCAGAGCAGATATTAATTGGCCATGCCCAGTATTTCTGAGATAAAAGGACTTTCTTAGCCTCTACAAATCACCCTAAACACACACTTATCATGTAGCTTCCCAAAGTGCCAAAACTGGCAAATTTCATACTTGACCTCGCCTGGATGTTAAGGTGGTTACTTAACTCACCCCAATTGTAGCATTGCTGAGATCGAGGTCATGAATTTGATTGTTGTATAAACCAGTATCATTAACATTCCAGAAGCATAGCTGCATTCTTATTGTCAGCTAGCTTTTTTTTTTTTTTAAGATTTTATTAGGGAATTGGGGGAGGGTAAGAACATTGGGGAATGGGGAAGGTGAACAGACAAGTTGCTGTTTTGTTGTTGTTGTTGTTCTTCAGTCTAGTTGTGGAGGACGTCGCTTCACTGGCCCATGTTGATATTATCATTGCATTCTTCCCTGGTGAGGCAGTCACTCACCGGCCATTGGACGGCCACTCACAGCGTATCACGGCAGCTCACAAAAGCTCATGCCCGCTGCCGGCCAGCCCCACTGCAGCCTATGCCGTCGCCGGTGACTCACGGCAGCCCAGCTCCAGGTTGAGCTGTTGTTCACCATCTTAGCTATAGAGGGCACAGCATCACTGGCCCTCATGTGGGATCTGAACCGGGGCCCTGCTGCTCAGATCTGGTATCCCAAGCCAACTCTATGCTGAAAATATCAGCATAACGCCCTGAAATGGGTAGGTTCAAATGCTTACTGGAAATCTGTTGGAGTTCTCAAGAATCTCTAAGAAAGTCCCACTACGAATCTCAAGAGCTGCTGTATCTCACTGTTTATGGCATTCTTGTTGCAGTTTGTTCCCTGTTTCTCTAGCATGCTTCTCTGGCCCAGTGGCTGGCTTGTCCATGTGAATTGCTTTAGGCCAGTGGAATGTGAGCAATTTGATTTATGCCACCTCCAAGCAGGAGCTTTAAATGTGCTTGCATGGTATGGTTTGGTCCTTCGCTCCTGCCCTTTAGTATGAGGACAGTATATCCCAGATAGGGGTTATTCTATCAGCCTAGTGCCAAAATAAGAAGATGAATAGAGCAGAACCAATCTAGCAAGTCAACCTGAGTCGAGCAGAGCTGCAGCTGATTCCCAGACCCATGAACAAGAAATAAAAGTTTGTTATACATCACTGAGACTTTGCAGTTGCTTATATTAATCTACTCCCAGGGAATACTAATATAAGATTTTACATATTCATGTTCTTTAATTATCTTTCCTTTCTGTAATGTAAAGTCTTTAAGATTCTCTTATGTTGAAGAATTTAAAGATCCACTTTCTAACTCCAGTTCAATTTTCTTTTTATTAAAGTGCTTCAGTAGACAAACAGTGTTATCAACAATCAACGCAAACTTTACTGAAATATTCACAAATAAAAATCTTCTACTTTATGAATCACCCAAATAATGGTCTTCTATGCAGTGACAGTAATCACCATTGGAGGCTGATTAATCTGAATGTATTCCTAACCACACGCATTGGTTCTCAAATTGGGAGATTCAAATTTGTTACCTTAACATATGGGGCTGGCTGTCAATAGCTGAATACTAGTCCCAGCAAGTCAGTGGAAAAAATTATGTGATTTGAAACTAATCACTTCTCCTTGGTGCCACAGTTTCTCCATCTGCACTGAGAATCTTCCCTTCGAGAAGATTTGTAAGAAAGTATGAAATGTTAAGGCTTAGCATACTTCTATGCCTCCGAAAGCATTCATGTGCATATTTTTTAAAGGGCAACTTATTTGTTCTTGACACAAATTAAATACTATATGGCTTTAAAAGAAATAGATTAATGACTGCTCTTTCCTTGAACATTATCTTTTTACTTAAATCACATTAAAATTATAGATGAAGAGGGTTCATAGATGATATGCTCAGTAAATTATTTTGATTGCAAAGAGGACTACTGTCCAACTCAGGAAAAATTTACAAATTATCTTAAGAAGTTTCATCCATTACATACTTACATTCGTCATGACCTTTCCATAAAAACAGAAATCCAGCTACCTTAAAGCGCAAAGAGGTGAAATTTAAGCTTTAATTAGAGTTTTGATATAGTTCCTTTGGGTATGGTTTGTAATTCAGTTATGACTGTCAAATGAGACTGTGGTTGACAAAGGGCAGAGTCAATATGCCAATTCTGATCAGACCTCCTGGCACAATGAAAGTGGCCTGGTGCTGTCATAAAAAAGATTCAGTAGGGGCGGCTGGTTAGCTCAGGTGTGTAGAGTGCAGTGCTCATGACACCAAGGTTGCCGGTTCGATCCCCGCATGGGCCACTGAAATGCGCCCTCCACAACTAGATTGAAACAACTACTTGACTCGGAGCTGATGGGTCCTGGAAAAACACACTGTTCCCCAATTTAAAAAAGAAAAAGAGAGACGTGACCACCAAATGCAATGTGGGATTTTGGTTGAATCACAGGTTAAAAAAAAAAATTCAGTAGTGTCTATGTTGCAAGTGTGGGAGGATTTAAAGTTAAAAAGCTTGAAAATATAGATGATGAATGTAGGGATAGCAGAAAAATAAAAGAATCCTAATTGAATTAGAAACTTTTCTAAAAACTTGTCCTGTTAGGAAGTAGGTGATTCCACTGTAAGAAAAGTTTAAAGAGGTTGGTACACCAATCCTTATATTTTCAAAGAAATGTGCAATGCTTTTAGGTAGAAACAGTATTGCTAAATCACCACATAACACTTTGAAGCTGCCAGCAGAAAAAAGAAAAAAAAAATCATTAATCAGTACAAGAGAAGAAGAAAAATGGTAAGCTGTGATGCTCTTGCTGTTCAATTAATAATCAATCATGAGCACAAATGGACATGCCACCTCAATAAATAAAGCCTTCTGTAGTTAACCAGCCACTTTAAAAATGAATTGGATGAGAAAAATTTTTTTCTGCAGTGTGCTCAGTCGTTTTAAGCTAAGGTAGTTTTAGAAAAACGTGGAACATCCTTAAAGAAGGCCTGTTTCGTATCGGTTGTGGCGGAACACTCCATGCCCTATACAGAGTACACAAGGAAATCATTTTCACATTGAATACAGATCTCTTGGGGAATAAAGAAAAAACACTTCACACGATATGCATGCAGTATTTGGGTAATAGTAAATCATCATCCTTCTCAAAGCAGGTGCAGATGCTCTAAAACCATCTCAGAGCTAATGATTTTAGAAAGAGGTGAGTATTGAAATTCTAAATTTAAAATACAGACTTAATTTCAAAGTTGATTTTGCCAAACCTCTGGCAAATCCTAGGAATCAAGGGTGAGCAGAAGAAAATGTTCTCTTTTGTGACATGCACCTCCTATTACCATGATGAATGCCATGGGCCAAATGCCATGATAAACTTATTCTCACTTGGGGCCAACGAAGGCCAGGCTGGTTCTAGGCAAGACTAAAAAGCAGGGAGCAGTCCCACAAAAGGGCCTGTCCAGGGCTGATCCAGCAGATTTCTAAGGCCACCTGGCACCCAGCAGACCCCGGGGCAAGTTGACCCGTTTTTTTGTGACTCAGGATCCCAGGCTTGCACGATCTCCAGGCCCAGCAGCTCCCAGAATGCCCCAAACTACATTGACTGTCTGTGGACTGGGCCAGCTGTCCCCTGGACAAGCACTTCTAGAGCTGGAAACAAAGGCTGATGGGCAGGGTAGACAGAGCACCATTTATTGGAGCCAACCTCCATCTATCAGCTGCTTTGTAGACAAGAGCTTAGTGATTCTGGAGCAGCTCTTCCCAACAGATGGGCTGTGAAAACACCTCTCTTTCCAGCCAGATCTCATATGAATAGTGGAAATCCTCAGGCAGATCCAACCGCTGCCCCAACACACTCTGCAAGCAGTTATCTACAGGTGAAAATTCAGAGTCCTGCGGTCTGTCATATCGGCGGCTGTTAAAAGCCTCGATGTTGGCCCTCAAGGTGCATTCTTCTGCTTGGAAGTCCCATGGCCTGGCATCGATGTCTGTGATAGGAAGAGAGAAAGAAAAGGATGTATACAATTCAGGACACTGCTCCCCTTACCACAGGGCATGGTCTGTAGGATACCAACAAAGGAACAGCTCCGAATTTCCTTTCCTGTAAAGAGCCATGTACAAAGTTAAGTAAATAACATGCTGTCACTCAGGTTTAAAAAATACACACAAGCCTACATACATCGCTCATCTATGCAGAGACTGTCTTTGGAAGGGTAGTCTAGAAACTGGTAACAGTGACTACCACTGAGACGGAAATGAGGACGCCGAGGGAGGTGGACTTCTATTGTATTTCCTTTTCATTATTTCACCTTCTTACTAGTTACGTGTATAGTAAGTCCTCGACATTGTTGATAGGTTCTGTGACTTTAAGTGAAATGGCGTATAATGAAAATTTTAGCCTAGGTTAATTGATATAAATGAGTTAAGTTCCAAAGGTATCTCATCAACTTATAATGAAATGACATTGAATGCAATGACATTATTCGAGGACCTGCTGATTATATTTTCAAATTGGCAACTCAGTTCCCTTTCTTGAGCTTTCCTCGGAATGGGAGTTTCCCATTTAAACAGAATCACCAGCTCTCGAAGAATGGGAAGAGGCAGGAAGGGGTACAACAAGGAGACTCAGAATGGACTAATTACTAAAGACTTTCCTGATTCCCTGGGACCTCTCCCAGCATATGATAATCTATGTGTCAGCGTATGTTATGTTTATGAGGTGAAGGCTTCCATGGAGGTACAAACAGAAAGCAGGTAATCTGATTTGTTTCTGTTTATCCCACTTAGACACTTATTTCAGGGCCAGGGATACATATTTCCCAGATCTCTTACGTCCCACACGCAATGGTTTATTATAAGGAAGTGCAGCTGGGGTTTGGGCTCACGATGGCAGCAACAAGAGACGTGCCCTTTACAGGATAAAACATTTTCATGTTTTAAAAATCTATAAGAATTTAAATAGTTAATTGTGCTTTATGTCTTACAGCAGAATTCACATCCTGGCTTTTATCTGCCAATAAGATGTGTCCCTTAGTTCTCTGCACTCTTTACTGCACCATCCTCTAAAGTTCAAGCAGGTTACAAATGTCAGCAAAGACAAGTCATTCGTCATCTTAACCAAAAACTCTTAAATGCAATTATGCAAATCATGGTCAGATCCCACTACAGCAAACATCAATACAATGAGAAAGCTCTCTAAAATAAATTTTTCCAAACTCTGGTCAGTCTTAGCATTAAGTCCTGGTAGGTCAACCAGATTTTACAATGTGAGACAATATACGGTTACCAACATTACCTAGACCGTGCCATAGCCAAAAAGGTTTAAGTCAAATTCATCAAAACTTTAGATCTAACTTTCAGTTTACAGATAATACCAGAGATAGAGGAATAAAGTAAATGACACCACAAAGAAGCAAGTACACAAATCTAGAAAGTGGATATGGAAACTGGAGGAAGGAAACTTGGCCTAGTTCTTCAATTAGTCAGTGTTGGGGGATGGGGGGTGGGGTGACTGCTAGATTAAAAACAAATAAAAGAATATCACAACCAGATTGAATTAATGGCCCTGGGTTGGACTATGACTTGTTAAAAATAGCTTTAAAGAACATTCTGGGGCAACTGGGAAATTCTGAATATAGACTTGATTATTAGATAAAATAAAAATGTAGTGATATGGAAAGGTAGAGATGTTAACTGAAGAGAGAAGATTGTAAAATTTCCATACAATTTGCTTTCATTTTAATAAATGTGTATATATATGTATGTGTAGAAAAAGATCTGCCATAATATACAATAAGATGTTAACAGTGGTAGTCTTTGGGTGGTACAAATATGGTTTGAATATGGTAATATCATAAAATGTTTGCTTGTATTTTCTAACTGGTTTGTAATAAATAAAAGTTTGTTTTAATTAAAAAAAAAAAAGCTCTCAGTGAAACCTGTCAGTTAAAGGATGTTTTGGAAAGGGGGTAATTATCCCTCAACTTCCTTGTTTAATAAAATAGATTTTCATAGTTTACATAGGACAGGGTACGTGCTAGATTGGGGCAGTGCTTTAAAGTTTGTTATATCAGCACATGACCTATAATCACATATCCTCTCATCTAAAATATGTAACAATTCATATCACGAGGGTAGAGAGAAATGTTTATTTAGTTTTGTTTAAACCCCAGGCAACTCCTGGAGGGCAAAAGCTCTGAGAATACTCACCATTCCCGTAAGCCCAGTCATCATTCATGCGGTGGCGCACTTTCTGGTAAATGGCTGACATGGTTTTCATGTTGCTTTTCCTCCACTGGCGCCCAAGGTACTTGGTCTGTATTTTTAGCAGCTTCAGGACATAAAGTTGTAGCATGGCCTGTTTGACCTTGAGGGCCCGCTTTAAGATTGGAGCAGACTTAAACACCACCAGCATCTGCCCATTTAAAGAGGGGTGGGAGTGAAGAAAGACAGATGCCAATCTAAAGTCTCTTGGAATTTCCAGCTCACAGATAAATTAAGCCAAATCTGGGTGGCCTCAGATTACCCTGGGGAGCTTTGAGAATCTATGGTCCTGGCTCTATTTAGATTTAGTCTTTACGAACATAGAGGAACCACTCCATTTATATTTCACAATTAAAAGTTTCTAATATTCAAAGTGCATGATATAAAGTGCAAAAATATTTTGTCAGGCACACATCTCATTTCCACTGTTAGCAGTGTCTTGTGTATCTTCTAGAGATAATTCTACATTTGCATATATTACTTTTATTAACAAAAATAATAGCCAACTACATATCCTGTCATACTGTTTCATACCATGCTTTTTAAAAGCAATATACCTTGAAAATTATTCCATAGAACTACCTCATTCTTTTTGATGTTATATAATAGTCTATCATAAAGATGTGCCACAAATTATTTAACCAGTTGGTCCCATATTAACAACTATTTAGGTTGCTTCTTATCTTTCATGATTATAAATAATGCTGCAATGAATAATCTTAGACTTGGGATGTGTGACTATAATCCAAATAACGACGCTAACTTCCCTACCAGAGCAGCCCTGAGGAAGGGTCCATATTTAGCTTCCTGAAAAGTAAAGGGAGTGGTAAGTAATTATCTCATATAGAATAAATGTCCAAAAGTTAGGAGGGGCTAAATCTTGGGTAGCATTCAGTGTCTATCTATAGAGCTCACAAAGCAGGAAGTCCATAACTATTTACTAAAGATTTTAAAAATTCAGTCAGAGGGACACCTCCACGATCTGAAGGGCCACTCACCATGGTTCTGGAATGTTTCCATTTGGTCAGCTTATTGAGCAGCCTCAGAAGATTGATGCAGGAAAAGAGGTTTCTCCAGCAGAACTGGTTGTTTTCTCCAGCTTCCTGTAAGGAGGCATGACTATCATGATCTCAACACCTACCAGGCTTTCGTTCCCACAGAGCCTGGAAGTCACTGTTGGTCAGTCTAAATGAAGCCTTCCATATGAGATGCTACTTCCTCACCAGCCTGCTCTCCACACACTGAGGCCTGAAAGCATGCAATATTTTTCATCTGAAAACACAGCTGCCAATCCTGGAAGACTCAGTACCTATGGCAAGCACTGGTTAGAAAGATGATCCAGGAACATAGAAACTTCACTTAAGCAAGCTGTCTAATTTAGGATCAGAAAAGAGATGATAGAATTCTACCCCCATATACTTTACAATGCTTACATAAGCTATGTTTGTAACTGCTAGGAGTTATTCTGGTAGATTTCAAACTATGTGAGATGGATCTGATATCCATTATGGTTGAATTTTTTAAATCAACCCCTACCCTCCTTTATCAAACATATTGCAATAATTTGCTTCATTCTTCAGCATGGAAAGGAAAATGGCAGATGGTTAATTTTAACTAGGTGTTTCTCTTATATGTTTCTTGATTTCTTGTGAGCACCCAACCAGAAATAACAGATGGATTTCAGAATAGAAACAGGTATCTACTCATCGTTCAGGGACAAAAATAAAGAGTCCTTATGGATTTGGGGGCCCTGTAAATATAGACTGGTGTCAGAAGCTATATAAATCAATGAGTATGCATGGTAGCCAAACTAACATCTTGGAAATTCCTCATGTCTACAGAGTGATATGAGTGTAGGAGTAAGAGATGTGTAGAACTGAGCTGCTGTCTGGTGAATGGTAAATTACCCCTTCCTCTCCCAAATGAGTTTGAAACAAGCAAGACAGGCACACATGTAATGTGGATTGAACGTCCATGATTTTTGAGAATATTAGGCTTGCCTAAAATATAAATAAGACTAAGGGTCAAAAAGTTTCAGGGAAACTTTTTAGAAATATTGTTTAGAAAAAAATGTTCTCCTTCCTGTAGTAAATGTTCAATATTGTGTTTAGCACTAGTCCCAGGAGAACCATCTGTTTCCATCCAAGGGAAACTTCCACGGGAGTTTCCACTAGAGTGCATCAGCTAGTTTGGTTTGCCCAAAACAGATGAGGTTCTATAGATGTTATATCTTCTGGGGGTAACAGAGGAAACAGACTTTTAAATGTTTACTTTTTAAAAAGAAGCAGGGGAAACAACAAACATATGGGAGAGAGGGAAGTGCATTTGAACTGTATCCTAATTTCTAACATGGTAGCAGCATTAAAAGCCTTGCATTCCTTAGCATCCAAAGAATAATAAGAGAGTAGAGGCATGGCCTTGAGGGCACCAGGACACCTGGATTATGGTTTTGCCAAGGCCGTATTATCTTGGGCAAGTCATTTCCCTATTTCCTATAAGAGGTTGAACTAGATAATCTTTAAGATCTAACCATTTAATAATTCCGTGATTTACGTCAACTTTCTCCAGTTGGCTTAAGAGTGAAGTTTTGAGTAAAAGGAAATTAACTGTGGCTGCCTTTTCTTCAGAGCTCAGTCTCAGAAGTTCTAGGAAAGATGCCCCAGTTCCCTCCTGAAGATAGTGTCACCTGCCCAGGGCTTGCTCTCCTTTCTTTCTGATACTGCCTTCCTGACATCTATAGCTAGCCCCACTTACCAGATACTGCCCGGAGCGGGCACTGAAGGAACACATTCAGTCAGGGGCTCTCCCAGGATACCTGAACCCAGTCTTGTCGCCCTTGCTGGCAGCAGCAGGCTCTGCATGAGGCCCTGCCTTGCCTTGTCCAACCCAACAGAAAATCACTTTCCCAGCAGGCCTTCAGCTGCATGGGTGCATTTTGCTAGGCTTCAGGGTTTTTTGTTTATTGTCCTTTAAGGCAGGTCACCTTCTTTCTCAGGACTCAGCATATTAAGTAAGATGTAAATTTCTCTGGGGAGATGTATTTTGTGACTAGCAGCACCTGGCCATTCTCTTGTTCCTGGTGCTTCACACTATCTAAAGCAAGGCTTTTACTCACTTTCAGCCAGCTATAGCTAAAAAAGAAAACATCTGCCCATCTTTCACTCTCACTAGTAAATTATTTGTTTGCATACACCTCGGGTCTAAAGATTTACTAGTATATATTAAATAATATATACATATATGTGGTAATTGCAACAAAATATTAACAGTGGTTATATGTAGATAGTATACTTTTTTTGTTTTTCTCCAATTTTCTGCAATAGTATAAATCGTCTTTATATTCAGAAAAAAAACTTTAATGTTATTTAAAGAAAACCTATACACTTAAAAAAACCAGTACATTTTCTGTTTACAATTAATTCATTGAGCCTGAAAAAGAGATACATCTTAAAGATTAGTCATTTCTGAGTATAGAAGCCATCAGTTTAGATAAATAAAGCATTATACTGAGGATGTATGTGGAGTAAACTTGCTAATTACGTACTTAAGCCCATGATTGGACTTACATTGTAAATTCAAGCAAAGAAACGAAACAAAACAAACTGTGGTTACCAGATGAAACCACCAGGTGCCACTGCTGCCTCACAGAAAGGAGAGGAATACCTAGCGTGAATTTGGTTTGGATTAAGGATACATGCTTTCACCCACTCTTGCATAATAATAAAGTCCTCTCAGAGGCATAACAATTATTTTGATGTTATGCTCATATCTCAAAAGGTCAATTGGAAGAGATATGAAAGTATGGTTCCCATCAATTCCTAAATATGGATTGAGAAAAGAGAACACATTGTATCAAGAAATAGTTTCAGGTCATAAAAGCTTACTTTATGTTTTGAAATACCCAACTAATAGTCGAATTGTAATGTTATCTGCGTACCACTGTTGCTGCGATAAAGCGCATTCCTCATTCCAGCTCTGAATGGCAGGGATGCAGGCCTCTAGGCTGCTGCTGCGGCTTTCAACGGTAAGATCTGGGCAGTTACTTAACTTCTCTATCCATGAAACAGTAATACTAGCCTCATACAGTTGTTTTAAAGATTGGATAACATCACGTAATAAACAAAGTTAGACAACTTACTGAGGGGTAAGAAGCACCCAAAGCTTCCTTGGCTGCTGAGACCACATCTGAGTAAGACAGGAATCTCGGCCCTGGTGCTAAACAGGGTGTGATTGGTGTCCCTGGACATGGGTCTTTCTCTAATTCAGGGTCTGCCATCTATGAAGAGTGGACCTGCCAAGTCACTTTATCCAATGGGCCCTCAGGCTTCTCATCTTTGAAATAGGGGTTTGGACCAAATGGCTCTCAAGTCCCCTTTAGCCAAGAATCCTAAGGTTCTACAAAACCTGTACCACAGAAAGTATTTTTGCATAATATACGTTTCTAATGCAACAATCTGCAGGTATTAAAGTTGGGGGACAGAGGGCTGTGGCACACATGGGTGCCGTCATCTGATCATTCAGCATTTGAGCTCCTTCTATGTACCAAACATGGTGCTAGATTTTGGTGGTATAAAAATGAAGATGACAGTATCTCTTCCTTTAAGAAGTTTTCAGTCAAATGGAGAAACAGATACAGATCACAATGCAACAGAATGAGGGTATGGTCTGAGGTATAACTAAGGAGCTGTGACAATACACGATGAGGTAGACCCATGATCTTCAATATGCTGTTCGTCAGTTAGTTTCACGGAATTCAGAACTCTAAGGACATTTTCTGATTTGCCTGGAGCTGTTTCCAGGATGAGGAATTTTCTGGGTCATCCTTCTGTGGCTATGTTGACTTTTGCCTCAGAGAGACCCAGGCAAGGTATGTTCTGAAGTACCACGCCTGGGTTTTATAACCGATAAGAAAAGTGAATAGCCTGTATGTAGCACAGCAGAAAGAAGACAGATCACTGGGATAGGCCAGATGCTCCTGCCATTTTGCACCGATGTTCACATTTCATTTCAGTCCCCTTATCTTCCTAAATTTCCTCTCCTCCTTCGCGTTTTTCACTGACCCTTTTCTCTTGTCTACAAAATGTTGCGCTCAGCTTTTCCAAATTGTCCTCAACTGGGTCAGCAGCTCTAAACCCCTAATGCCTCCGGGCTTTTGCCAGCAGGCCTTTTTGAACGGAAACTCCCAAACCAGGGCATTATGGGGCTGGAGAAGAAATGGAACAGCAAACGCCAGCCTCTGCCACCTGGCGATTTCAAAGGTTACCCAATCCCCTTCTGCTTACCAGACTCTCCGTGGTAAGTTCTGGCAAATCCTGGATGGTACAGCAAGGATAATCGAGGACTGAGATGCTGCAAGATGCAGAGATAAGGACAGGCTTTAGGAAAATGGCAATGGCAGGAGACAGTCGTAGCTGAAAGGGCAGGAGTGATTTCTCTCTCCAGCAGGCCCCATTTATTTCCTAAATTGCTTAGTGATTTCAGCTGAAACTAAGGGTTCTGGTGCCAGGCAACTCCAGCTCTAATCTCCTCTCCTCACAGCCATGAAAGAAACCAACAGAGTTCTTTCAGGCTGGCCCACCATGTGGCAGATGCAAAAGGGAGCAGAAAGCGAGCCTCTGTGTAGCCAGCCACCTTTCTCCTCCCTTCTTTAAAGGAATCTGTAAACTTGTGTGCCTTGTGTTTCCGTATTTAAGTGGATGCTGTGCATATGTGTGAATAGAATTGTGCTCCCAGAGAGGGTGCCCAAATTTATCCCACTTAACCTGTGGATGTGAGGATGAAATGAAGACCTCTCCTGTGTCCCTTACCAGATGTTTCTGAAAGCCAGGAGCTCTGGGGAATGAAGCTAAAGGAAGCTTGAGGCAGAGGCAGCTTCCTGCAGCAGGGCCAATCTAGTAGCTCAAGAACGGTAACAGCATCTGTCCCCAAAACCGACAGTGGGGTGCTGCAGGGGAGCTGGAGGCTCTGCGATGAGCCCCGGAAGCAGGGGAAATAAGGCCTGATGACAGGAACACAGTCACTCCAAATGACACTTCTCTTTCTTTCCTCTTCTCCCTTCTTCACTGGTACAAGGCAGAACGCAGACTAGCTAATCTCTAATGCTCCTTCTGGTCCCAATATTCCATGGGGTTTCAAACACCAATCTATCGGAACTAGTGCAGTTGGAAATAGATAAAGGAGGTTGGCACAGCAGGGGCTATAAAGAGTGTGGGGTTCCTTGGACCTATCTCTGCATTTTGAAAGTCAAAACTTCTATCCAAGCAAAAGGCAACGATTTATTTGACTAGGAATGTTTTACCTTTGTCCAAGAAACCCACAGAGATAACATAGGGAACAAAGGGAGGAGGCGTGAGGGCAGTGGCTCTACCTACACTATTGCTCATCGACTTAATTCACTCTCCTGGACTCGCCCAGGGATGCCAATTCTGTGCTGCTTCATTAGGATAGACATTCTTGGCTGGCTTATCAACTTATCTATCCACCTCCCACTGACAAATCCCCATGGCAAAGGAGGTGCTGTGACCAGGAAATGGGGGTGGGAAATCAAAGCTGGATTTGCTCCAATCTCAGTGAACTGAATTCTAGCCTAAGGGGCCATCAAATAAAGTTACAAGCTTCTAGAGTAACTAGATTGCAAGAACCATGAGGAAACTGAGCACTAATGAGCTGTGGGGTGCCCCACATTCCCAGGGATCATGTGACAGTAAAGTCGATAGGTGGTGCACAGGAGGATCGTCTTATCCAGGCCCGCCCTAGCAAATGATGTGTTGTCTGGCACTATCACACTTCCAACTCCAAACGGAAAGCGGAAAGCGTAGGCCACCTATTGCATTGTCTGCCTCTTCTTCCAGGCCCATGAGTTCAGGGTGGGAGGCATTTAGTTCCCAAACCCTACTCCCCCAGCCACCGTTGATTGATCCAGGGGTGGACCTCTAACCCTGGGAATGTGAAATAAGGATTGAGAGCCCATTTAATCTCTGAAGTGGCATCAGGTGGGACATGTTTGGCTCATGTGGCATATTTCACCAAGTGGCCTGGGAAGCAGACGATACTATTTGTCAGTGAGAAGAAATGGAGTGGAACTACAGAGGCTCAGTGTCCGCAGACGGAGGTGAGGGCTTCGGGTCTCCCTACACTACAGACCAACCCTGAGGCCCAAAGCTGCATCCCTGTCCTGGCTTCCCGGTGACATACCTCCCATTTCTTTCCAATAAATTCTCCGTTCTGCATGAGCCAGGTCGGCTTGTTTCAGTCGCTTCTATAATAACTAAGAGGGTTGAATGAAACACACCAGTGCCTCCATGAAGCTGTGGCCCTTCCCCAGCCCAGCCTACACTTTCATTTTCCCTGGTAACCCAGTTAGCATGTCTTAGGACAATTTTTAAAGGGGCCAGAACACAAGTCTCTCTGTAGTTAGAAAACAACCCGCTCTCCAATGCTTCCTCCAAATGGGAAAAGTATTTAAAGCCATCTCCTATGTATATCTTAACTAATGCCTATAAAAGCTCTATGATGTAGTCAGAGGAGGTATTCTTCTCATTTTAAAGATGAAAATACTGTGGCTCGGAAAAACAAAGTATCTTACTTGAGATTACATAGCTAGCAAATGGCAGATCCAGGTCAGGAATCCAGGTCTCCTGACTTCAGGTTGTGTGTGTGTGTGTTAAGTTACATATAAGTGAGCTGCCTCTCCATGGTGGAATTTCAGGCAGGACTGACAGGCTGCTGAGGCAACATCTCTTAGACCCTCTCCAGTCACTCTAAGTATCAGATCAGGCTTCTTAACTTCTATTTCAGGAAATTTGTCTCTGTTAAAGCACTCCTGGGACACTCTACTGATTAAAGTGCTCCCAGTTCTCAGGGAAGCAGTAAATGAAGGAAGAAGGATCTACTTTGTAACCCGCCACAGCCAAGTCCCCACTTGGCTGGAGGGGTGGGAAGCAATTTGTATTCACAGCAATTGCGATCAAAAAGCAATTTATGTTTTGATCCTGCCTTCGCTGCTGACTTAAGGGGTGGGTCTCACTAGCATGTTAATCCCAAGCAAGCCAATTAACCTGAGTTTGTTTCCTAATTGGTAAAATGAGAAATAAAACATGTTATAATACCTCTTAGCACCACTGAGATTAAATAATGGATGTGAAAAGTACTGTAATTTTTAAAACTATAAGTTGATCTAAGTAAGGGTTTATTATTTACTCTCAGTTACAAATTCCGTATTACACTTTAGTTTACAAGGTAGTGTAACTGATCCAAATTATGATTTATAATAAGATCTGGGCTGGCCCGACAAGCAGGCTATTTTCCAAGAAACACATTTTGATCCTCTGCCACAGGGCTAAAATTTCATCGTTGTAGCTTCATTGCTTTGAGTCATGACAGTTTTCAGTTTTCAAAACTTTTAAAATACAAATATCTTTATGAAGAGGCCAAACCTATACACCCCAACAGCTAACACTTCCAGGAAATGAAATTTAACAGTCACAGCTCCAAGATAGAAGGGACTAGGTACATCAGGACTGAAAAGCTTAGAGACGATGGAATTTTCTTAACCATCCCAAACTAGCCCTTTGAAATAAACCTGTCCAGAGCCCGTACCTGTTTTTAGCAGTGATGTAGGACAAGATATTTTGATTGAAGAACTTCAGGATCAGTGGAATGCAGTTGGCAAATACTAAATGCTGCGATACATATTCAAACTGAATTCAAAGATCAAAGCAGAAAGGGTTGCTTATTTGGGGGAGAATCAAAGGTATATATGAAAAAGAGAGGCAAGTATAATTATAATATCCACTCCTAAGAATATCCACTGTCCACTTGTGTTATCAGTCTTTCTGCCTGGGAAGTGGGGAGAGCTATCTTCAGCCAGCCCGTCCCATATGGAGGGGGACCATCTGCAGTGTATGTATGTTGCAAACCCCTGACCAAAAGCACAAAACATAAGCAAGCCAGAAGGAACGTCCCGCTCCAGATACAGAGAAAGAATTGCCATGAGATTTGCAACTAAGCTCAACAGGAAAGGAAGGCTCCCTGAGGGGGTTGTCTTCCATACCAAACCCCTGGCTCATAGTGTTTCCACTGTGATTGATACAGCAGGGACAGGTGCAACTTACTCCTGGCAACTGCTGGCATCACTAAGTCAGGACAGAGACGATGCACAGAAACCAAATGAACCACTGGAATGTGGGCTCCAGCGCAAGTGTGCATGGGTCATTGTATTATCCCCTGTACGATCAGTATTTTAATGACTGAATCAACAAGAGCCCTTCAGTCAATGGTACGGCACTGAGAATAATTCCAAGATCTCTTGGATGAGCTAAACGCCAGAACACAGGCGCTCCCTTTTGCTCTCTTGAATCTGGATAGGGTTTGGGTCCAGGGAGACCCAGTGGAGGCAGTGTCATGGAGTTGTGTCACCATGGATTTTGCCCTGACACACTGATACACTGAGGAGCATCAGAAATAATTTGTCACCAGATCCAGAACCTAGACTACTGGGACAGTGCAGAAACTGTTGAAAACGCAGAAAATGGTGGCATTTTAAATCCCCTCCTTCCTGATTACCAAGTAGCAGCCACAGCAGCAAGCTAAGCTGCCCTCTGTCCCTGAGTGTGTGGTTAGAGATAGGGAGTCAGCTTGTGCTGCCCGTTTCTTCTGATCAAGTGTTTTCTTCCTGGCAGCTGACCCAGGGTATTTTTCAAAGCCCCAGATGGAGAAGCCAATACATACCACTATCAAGTGACAGAGAATATTTTCAGTTTGTGATGTGTCTGTAGCCTTGTCAGGATTCACTGACACTGACACACACTGGCAAGGCCCAGCAAGCCACCCACCTGTCTGGCTGTTGAGCCACATACTGCCCACCACAAGAAGCAGCAGAAACACACAGCCACACCCACCGTTCTCTGTGCCTTCTACCAGGAACACTTATCTCCCACCCACCCCAACTCCTCCCAGCCCTGCTGCTGCTCGGCGAACACTAGCCAGCATGTGAGCACCCAGGACACCCCAAAACACCCAAAGTTGTCTTTGCATGTATTAAAGTGGAGAAGTATAGTCGACGGACACAGACCCTGCAGGGACCTCCCTGCACTCTGAGGTCCTGCTCTTCCCCCTGCAATCTTGGTTCTGACTTGGTAGGAGGAAAATAGAGCAGAGCTTCTGTGCAGGAAGGAGAAGCCTCCTCTCCTTCCCACGGTCTCACCATGGAGACCATCCATTCACTGCCATCTTCCCCTGTACCTTGGCGATGCCTTTAGGACCAAGTCCAAACTCCTTAGCATGGCAAACAACGCCTGGGGAAGTGGGTTAACCTTCCTTAGCTTTGGTTTCCTCATCTATAAAACAGGGATAAAATACGACCTGCCTCATAGGGTTGAGAGAATTCAATGAGAACTCACACACGCTTAACAGAGTGCCAGGCACATGATAGCTACTGGAGAACTGTGTGCCATCCTATATATTATGATCTGCCCCACTGTCCCTTCTAGCCTCAGGTGTCACCAGGCCTCCCCATCTTCCCCGACCCTAGGCAGAACTCCAGCACCATTTAATCAGTTTCCTAGGGTACTGGGCTCTGTCCCCTCTGCACTTTCACGAATTAGCTTTTCTGCTTGAAATGCTTCCTGTTCTCTTTCCCTGACAGCTCCCATATCCTAGCAAACGTTTCTTTCTTTAGGGCTCAGATTAGAAGTCCCTTCTCCTCCACCTCAGGCTGAGTTAGGTGTGTCCATAGCAGTCAGTGCTTACCTGTATCACGGTACTTATCACTCTATAATTGGCTATTTATGTATCTATATCCTTTACAAGCCCTTAAGGGCCACGACTGTGCCTTATTCAGAATTATATCTCCAATGTTAGAAAAGTGCTTCACATTATCAAAAACTATGCCCAACACACTTTCTCCCCTTTTTGCAGAATGCTTGCACCCTGCCTTCCATTGCTTCAAAGCTCCCAAGAAACTAGAGCTTCCTACCCGCAACCCTCAGATAATGTTCAAAGGACAGGCATCTGTATTTTTCTAGGAGAGCTCCCCACAGTGCACTCCATACCCGCACCTCAAGCTGGTGCAACAGGTATGTGGATTCCTCGAGTGACACAAAGAAAAGGCTGAAAGATGCTCAGCTGGACTACAAGGGCTCTTGCGTCCCTTCCTGGGGAGACAGGGCCTGGAGAACACCTGAGACCCGCTCCTCGCTGCTCACCTGGTAGATGTGGTTCAGTTTGAAGTGTTTGAGGAGGAGCAGGAGCAGGGCAGAGATGCTCTTCACAATGATCTCCTTGTGTCTGTTCACGTCGATGCCCAACTTCATGCTCTGGAGAACAGTGATGCTACAATGGGGACAGGAGTCAGTGCAGAGGGTGGCTGGGAGAGGCCTCCATGGACCCAGGTATTTGGGTCAGATCCAGCACACAGAGAGCCAGAACTTGGGAAACCTGAACTTCTGGGCTACGGAAACCTCCAGAGTTCCCACTTACAAGCAGCCTGTCTGAAGAAAAGCTCCTTGAATCTTTTTGTTTCTCCCTCTCCTTTGGCAAGCTCATTCCTTGGCAAAGCCCACCCACATACCTGTGCAGCCAGTCACTGGCACTGAAGCTGCCCTCAATTCTGAGCTAAAAAGGGCATAGCTGAGAGCACTGCAGTGGTGGAAAGGGGCTACGGGTGGGGGAGGGGAGATCTCATTGGAGACAATCCCTGTGCATGTTAACACTGTGGGGTGGGGACTAGGGAGACCCCGCAGACAAGACAGCTAGTATTGAGCAGCCGGCCCAGTTGAAGCACTCACGGCATCTCCTCAGGCAGGACATCTGCCAGGATATTGATAGAGTCTGTCTTAGCCTTAGAGGTGGGGGCCGCAGCCAGCAGAATTTTAAGCAGAGCAATCTGGAAAGTAGAAAATGAGGATATCTGTCCCCGTCCATTCCCTTCAACAAGGCTGTTCTTCAACATCAACAGCCGTAAGGGAAGTGTTTTAAAGCCTTCCTTTAAGTTCTTCCCTCCATGACCAAATCTCTCCAGCCTCCAGAGTGCAAACAGTCCTGAGAGGCCTGCCTGTGAGGCTAAGGAGCCCGAAGGGAGCTTACAGGCTGCTCTGCTTCAAGACTGCTCTTTCCAGAGAGGAGGGTGGGAGAAGCAGTGAGAGGGGCAATACCCAGAAATAAGGGGGGAGGCACAGGCAAGATCTCATTCCCTGCTACGCTTTTCTTTCCTCTAACCCTGCCCGTCAGCATCCTCACCATTCTCAGCCTGACACTGTCCAGGACATGACAGACCACAGCAGGCCTCAGAGGGACGAGAGGGCCCTCCTAATCTCCACCCCTCCCCAAGAAGGACTTGGGCGTACCGCCAAGATCTCCTTCCTGTCGGAGGAGCCCTGAGGAAAGCTCAGGGTTCTGCGTTAGAGAATGCCTTGCCTGAGGGGCAAGGGCTCAAATGATGGACAGCTCAGCTTGAAACGGCTCTCAGCTGCCGGTTCCTCGTAGCAGAGAAGGGCAGCTCTGGCCCAGCCATCTCCTTACCATGTACTGGGGGAGGCTATACAGCATGCCCTGGTAGAGGATTTCACATGGCGTCTCTGGTACCACCTCTTCCCCCTGTGGCAGGAAACACAAAGTTTGCCCAGGACATTTCCAGTTGACCGAAAGCTACATTTTCTTGGCTGTGAAGGGTGGCATGAAAAAAGCACTGAGCTTGGTGCCAGGTTTATTATACATTCCCTATCCTATTTGTGTTAATGACTCATTGTATGACCTTGGGTAACTTCCTTTCCCTCTCTGGGTCCTAGTTTCCTTTTTTATAGGATCCTCTTTTATAGCGGGCTGGTCTGGAGGACCGCTGAGGGCTCGTCCAGCCCTAATAATCTATACTTCTGGTTTTCACATTATCTGGAGTCAATCCAGAATGATTCTTTCCATGTCACATGCTGGATCAGGAGTCAGAACTCCCACCTACAGGTATGCCTGGAACACTGGAACAGACACGCCACACAGAGGCACTTTCCATGGTGTCAACGTGAGGCCATCTGAGAGCTCTGGGATGCTCTGAAGGAGGGATCGGTGACTCAATAAAGAGAATTGATAAGGGAGTTGGGTAACCTATGGCCTGGAGAGGCAGGAAGGAGTAATAGCTGGGAAGCTTGGAGGTGGAAACTGGTTTCTTGATTTCTCCATTAGCCCCTACAACACCCCTTTCTCCTTTCTGACCAACCCCCCTCATGCACAACTCTTTTTGTCCTTTTGATGACCCCATCTAAGCCTTTTACCAGAGTAGGGAGACTGGGGCCTCCGGTGCTCAAGACACTACTCAGACCACTGTCATCGCTGGCCACTGCAGTCCTTCCTCACCCAAGGTCCCTCTATTACAGGGCGTGGGTCACTGCCATGAGACTCTGAAGCAGGGGGAAGTAACCAGGCCCCTTTTATCCCACACAACTCAACTGCTGCTTAAATGAGCACAAGTCTCAGATGGGCCCTCAGTAAAGCCTGGCAGTCCTGCCTGCTTGCCTTCCTGTTCTCCAAAGGCTTATTTCATACCTTCTCCCCTCTCCTCAAGCCAATCCCCTCACCCCACAGCCTCCCAACAGTTGCTAACCCTACCTCATACTTCGTGGAGAAAACAATCAAACAGGCACACCCTCCTCTTCTTAATGCCAAATCTACCAGGGTCTCTTCCTTCCTTCCTTCTTTTTTTTTTTTTTTTTTGCTTAAACACTAGAAATTTATTTTCTCAGAGATCAGGAGGCTAGAAATCCTGAATTACAGTGTTGGTCGTCTAGCTGGTTACTTTTTTTTTTTTAATTATGAGTTTCAGGTGTACAAAACAATGTCATAGTTAGACATTTCACCCCTCACAAAGTGATAACCCCCTCCCCCAATCTATTGCCCTCTGACATCGTATATATCTATTACAATTCCACTGACTCTATTCCTTATACTATACTGCATATCCTGTGACTCTCTCTCTCTCTCTCTCTCTCTCTCTCTCTCTCTCTCTCTATATATATATATATATATATATATATATATATATATATATAAAATTATAGTTGATATACAATGTTATTCAGCTTCACGTGTACACTGCAGTAGTCAAGCATCTACCTTCCTTCTTGACATGAAGGATGAACCACCTATACTCCTATCAAAGGCCAAACCTCCACTTGTGCTCAGGATCTCACAAGCTTTTGCCATGTCAAATGCAAGTTTTGTAATTATCCCCTCTCCCCTGGGTCAACTCTTAGGACACAAACATACTCTAGTATCTCCTAGCTATAAAACACTTTCCTTTGACCCCACAGCCTCCTTCAGCTACCATCCCATTTTTATTCTCTTCACAACAAAACTTCTATGTTGTCTCTGCTGACTGTCTATTTCCTTTCTTGGCATTTTTTTTTTCAACACACCCGCTAGGCTTCTAGCCCTACCACTTCACTTGAGGTTGCTCTTTTCTAGGTCACCCGTTTTCTTCATGTTTCCAAATCCAGTGGGCACCTTGTTCTTATCATGCTCCGTTTATCAGCAGCATTTGACACAGCTGATCACGCCCTTCTTCTTGAAAGACTTTCTTTTCTTAGCTTTTATGGTATAAGGTCCTGGGTTTCCTCCCACCTCCCTAAGTGAGTTTCTTACTCTTCTTTGCCGGCTCCTTTTCTGACTCATTCCACCCTCAGCGTACTGGTGTGCCCCAGGGCTTTGTCCTGGGTTCCACCCTCTTCTCTATTTCTACCTCTTCCCTGGGTTATCTCAGTCACTTCTGTGGCTTTTAACGCTGTCCATAAATCAACAGCTCCCAAATGAATTTCTCTTGGCCAGTCCTCTCTCTAGAACTCTAGACCCATATATCTATTGCTTGGCTGCTCTGCGCAGGTGCCTAATGGATATTTAAAACTTAGGATGACCAAAATAGAACTCTTGATAAAACGGAACTCCTATCTTGGCCAATGGTCCTTATTCTTGATTCCTCTTTTTGCCTCTCTGTCCATATACCATTGAACTGCAACTCTTGTCAGCTACACTTCTAAAATAGAACCCAAACTCATCTACTTTTCCCTAGCTCCACAATTACTACCCAAGTCCAGGTAACCAGTATCTTTCAGCTCGATTACCATAAGCGCTTCCAAACTGATATCTGTGCTTCCACTCTTTTCTGGTCCAGTCTCTACACTGCAGCTAATGGTTTTTAAAAAGATAAATCAGATCATGTCACTCCCCTGCTTAAAATCTCCAAAGACTTCCCTTTGTACTGTGAATCAACTTCAAGCTCCCTGTCTTTGCTTACAGGGCCCATAATGTTGACCCAGGCCTCCTCTCTGACTTCATCTCCCGCAAGCTCACCCCTAGGCCTGTGCTCCAGTGGGCCACACCACGCGAACAGTCTTCATTCCCTACCCCTAACTTTCTGAGCGTGCTCTCATCTCGTTAAGGCTGTTCCCTCTGCTTGGTTCAGAACATCCCTTGATGTTCCTTCCTATGGCCGCTCCTTCTTGTACCTCATCTCTTGGCTTAACTGTCACCTACCCTGACTGCCCAATCTAAAGTAGTCTACTACATGCCTTTATCATGTCATTCTATTTAAACTTTCTTCATTATATCGCGCACTCTCTGATGATCTTCTTGTTTCCTTAATTATTTGTTGATCTTTTTTCTCCAACTTTAACGTATTGTGAAAGTAGGGACCTTGTCTTGTCTGGCACACTGTAGAGCCCAGGAGCAGGCACACATGATCTGTGACAGCACTGCTGACAGACTTCCTTGTGTCCCCTTCCTGTGCAGAAACCCCTTGACTCACCAAAGACATGGGGCACTTCTCCAGCTCCTCCTCATTCTTGATCTGAACATCTGCGATGGAGATGTACTTGTGCTGGGGAAGATAAGATATCAACAAGGGGCCGAGGGCCTCCATCGCATGTCTACCAGCCTCCAGCTTAACTTCCTCAATGACAAGGAAACATTCTATTTATGGGTCCAAATAGGTCATGAACTCTTTGAAGGTAGGAGTCTTATTCACCTTTGCATCATTAACACTGAGCAAAGTGCTTCATATACAGTGTTTCTGTGTATTCCATGTTTCCAATTTGTTGAAGAGCCCCAAATACCTAAGCATTTCCTTCAACCAAAGTGCAAGGGGAAGCCAAGAACAGGTCCTTGCCCCTGGACCACTGCCCTGAGGGTTCAGCTGCATGTGCATGTGTGTGTGGAGTGATGCCGATGGGGTGGGGAGGAGTCAAGGTCGGTGCAGGAGACGGCTGCTCTTAGTCTTTGTGCTCAAACACACTTTAGATGTAAAGCAGCCTGCTACTCAATCCTGGGCCTTTGAAAGTTAGTGGTCCTATAGGAAGAGGGAAGTAAGAGGAAAGGAAGCTAGAAGTGGGAAGAGAGAGAGAAGGGTGGGAGGAGGGAAAAGGAATGAAAGGAAGAAAGGAGAACTTTTTTATCTATCTGAATGTAGGAAACTGGTGAGTAGAGAGAGAGCCAGCGTTTTTTCTCTTTGGCCAAAACGCCTTCAGGGAAATGCAAACTAATAGGTTCAGAATGTGTCTGGTAGAAGAGCCTCACCCAGTACCAAAACCCTGGTAGTCCAACTTGCCTTGATGGCTCCCTAGCCCTGAAGAGCCCACCCCAGTCACCTGCTTTAGGGTCTTCACACTTTCGTGGATGGGCCTGGGTAATCCAACCAAGGTATCTGTGTCCCTGTGAAATGCAAGACACACTAGGTCATAAGCTTCAAAAGTATAGAGAACTATAAAAACCCCCTGGAGTCACGTGGACCATGCCACTGTCATCATCTGGTACCTTAGATCTTTCTTTGCAAGCTTCTGGGTACCCCCATCATTGCTTTAGGACACAAAAAGAATGGTACATGAAAGGGTTCCTGAAAAAGTAGTCTCTTGGGAACTCACTTTGTCTGGCAGTGGTAAATTCCTCCTTAAAAGGGCATGTAGCCCAGTGACACTTTTGATAGTGAAACACCAGTAACAATGCCTTCTCAGGCTTCGTAGAGGCCAGTGGGAAGGATGCATGAGGATGCGGAGATAGGGGAAGACTGGGTCTGTTCTGACCATGTCTCTTCTTCACAGAATTCTGGCCCATTAGAGCCGGAAGGGCCCCTAGGGGCCATCTAATCTAGCAGTCTTATGAGGACATTGAAGCCCAAGAGGGAAATGACTTGTTGCTCGAGGCACTATACTGGCTAAAAGCAAAAAAAAAAGTTCTTCTAGGAAACTGGAAGGAAGAAATTCCATGGCAAGAACCCAAGGCAGTCACTGGGAGTTGCTCATGGCCTAGTGGCTCTAGGTTGCATTGTGACTACTGGGCGAAATCTCTCATTCCAGGCCCCCCGCTCCTCTGGCCCCCTAAGAACCACGCTATAGCCATTCTGACAATCCAGTCACTTACTGCCCCAGAGTGAATCCGATGAACTTGTTCCTGCTTAGCTCCAAAAAGTGCTCAATGTCCTTCTGCCTGAGAGGACGGTGGAGAGGCGAAGCCCAGAGAAGGAAAGAAAAGCAAACCTTGAGAGAGAGAACCTTTCTGGGTTCCTGCCCCTCCAATTGGAGCATTGGAGCAGTGGGGGACGAGAGCAGCTAACAGAAGGAACTTCGAGCCTAGGAGTTCTGACCCCCAGCCCCGCTTCCTGAGCCTTGAGTACACAGACCACTCCACCCTGGGTCTTCAGTGATTAAAAACCCAAAGCTTGGGGTGCCTGGTGCTATCAAACCTACCTGACCTTTGGGGCCCAGGGTAGGCCCTTGGGAAAAGCCACCTGCTCAGCAGAGAGAGGTGCCTGCGAGGGTGGAGGTGGCACCAGAGGGTCCTGTTCTAGCAGGTCTAACTCTCCATCCAAGGCTCGTTCTCCATCACCAGCAGGTTCCTCTTCTTCCTCTGTGGTTGGTTCCTCAGTCTTAAAGAGATCTCTTTCATTGTAGATGTCCAGGCTGTCCTGCTTGGTGAGGAGTTGCTGCAGGGCAGGGGGGCGGGGTGAGGAAGGTGTGCAGAGACCTTACCCTGGGCATCCTTGTCTGAGGCTATCCCCTTCCCACAGGCTGCCAGACTTCAGGAAACATGCAGTAAGAACCCAGCTCTTTGGGAATATCCCTTTTCCACCTCAACCCTACTGTTCCCACCAGGCCCAATCCCAGGACAAGCAGCTCTCAGACAACCATGCCAACGGCCAGGGAACAGAGCATAGATAATCCCAAAGTCATAGTTACTTAGCTTTCAGAAAGCACTGATGCCTTTTTTTTTGCCAGCACTTTCCTTCCTAATTATGCTCTGCTTAGGTGAACATTCAATTAGTTTGCCTTCTGTGAGCATACACCAGCTGGCTGACTGAGGAAGAGGAGACAGAAGCTGCTGCTAAGCAGAGGGAAGCGAGTTTGGAATTTTAAATCTTGTCACAGAAAGAAAAAGATTGGACAGAAATAGGCCAAAAAGTTAACAGTCACTGCCTCTGGTTGTTAAGACTGTGGGTGATTTTTTTTCTCTCTTCTTCTCATTTCATATTTGTTCCAAATTTTCTACAATGAGTAAGCATTACTTTGTAAAACAAAAAATAAAGGTTAAAAAAATTACACTGCAGATAATGTAGACTAGACAACTGAGTGTGACTGTCTGAAACTTGTAGTTGGTAAACTCAGGTAAATCAGGCAGGTGAGTTCGTGGGGGCATGGTCAGGTTTCAGTGCAACTTGTCATTCTGACCTGTCCAGAGATGCAGACTATGCCTAGAACCCTAACCTGTCGTCTCCCAAATGTAAGCCTCTGGTTCCAGGGCCTGACAAGAACATGGTTGGCTCAGAGCAAAGCTTCTTGCTGCTGAGAAAATGGAGAAGTACCTCACCCCGGGCACATGGCTTTCTGGGAGCTCTGTTCAGATTCCCAGGATTATCCCCTAACCTAACTCTTGCTCAGGATGCTAAGGAATTCCAGGCACTGAGGTCCAGGTCAATGACCCCGTAGCAAGACGTGGATCTATAATGTGATATCACAATGTCACGTCTTGACAGCTCAGGAGTCTGTCAGAGCTGGGAGACAAAGGCCAACGTACTGACTCCAAGGCTTCAGACTGTCACATGGCCAAGGGGTAGGCGGAGGGTCACACACTGCCCTTTCCTACCACATCCAGAGTAGCTTAGAATCCTGAGTTTTGGCCAGCTAGTGTCACACCACTGTCTGCTTTAGTCCATACCCTTCGAGAACCACGGCGGCCTCGCAGCTTGGACGGTGGTGGTGCCAGCTGAGACTCCCCCAGGTCGAGAGTGTAAGAGGGTGGGGAGGCGGCACGCATGCTCTTCACCACCTGGATGCTGTCCTCGGCCAGTGGAGGCAGGCCCAGTTCTGCCCGCTTCTGTATTTTGAGAGCCTGCAGGTGCTCAAATCCACCAAGGGTAAACTAAAGGGTAAACAGGAAAGGGGCAGAGAAGGGATAGGAAGGGAGGGAAGTCGGAGAGCCGGGTCAGGGAAGGATGGGTGGAGACGAAGAGCTGCAGCCTCCAGTCCCCCTCGGACCCCCTTCTCAATTAGGAAGTAATAAAACAGGAAGGGGCAAATGTGGTTACTATCCCTGTCTGAGGAGCTCAGGGCTCAGGATAAAGCATTCTTTACTGACCCAGGGCTGGAAATACCACCAGAAATGAGGCAAGGGACTCCTAGGAGCCTCCACTGAACAAACAGGAAAATGTATCTCCCCCTTTAAGGAACACATCCAGATGCTATAACCCCCAGAGTCACTCAATTTCCTCTGCAGTCAAGAGGCAGTTCCCCCATGAGGCCTGCCCTGGATGCTATGTTGTACAGCAAGTCCTGTGGGGCGGGAGTCAGAGATGAAGGATCAGGTTGAGTAATTAGCCACAGAACTACAACCATATACTTACAAGGACTTCATTTGTTTTCAAGCGAATCCTCTATTTATCTGGATGGAGGGCAGGCACTAATCCCCACATTTTACAGCTAGAGAAACTGAGGCACAGAGAGTTGCCCAAGGTTCCTCAGGATGAGCAGAGGCCAGGTCTCCCAATTCTTAGGCAGTGCTCACCCACAAAACATCAGCTGTATCAGGGGAAGGTGCAATGATACCCCAACTCGGAGACGCATCTCTCATCAGTCCGACAGAAACAGGCGTCCTGCTCTGACACAGCACATCGGAGTCTCTGGGTCAGCCATGTTGCCCCTCCATCGGCTAAGAGCTGCCCCCTATTCTGCCTACTTCCTGCCTCAGAATCAGACTAGAAGAAACTGAGGTGGCAGCGGGCTGCCGATCTGATGAGATTGGGGGGATGAGCCACTCACCATGACCACCTTCCAGAGCAGAAGCAGGACCTTCTTTATGGGGAAGTGGGGAGCCAGGCCGCTGCAGAACTTGGTAACCATGGAGAAAAGCAGAAGGGCAAAAGGTTCCTCATTATGCATGGAGAAGCCTGGGAGAGTGGAGAGAGGCAAGTGAGAAGGCGAGGGTGAGGTCAGGAAACCCGGCCCCTGTAACCCCGATTCTGGACACATTGAGGAAGGCACTCACCACCCCTAAAGAGTTTGAGTACTTGGTCCTGAGAAGGAGGCTTAGAGAGCTCCCAGACAGCCCACCTCCTTGGGGTGGATGCCAAACTAGGAGTAACAGCAATAAAGATGTTGTTTTTCTGGCTGAAGGACCCGATGGCATTTCGTGGCTCACAACTCACTTTCGTACATCAGTGAATGTATTTTTTAAATCCCACAGGCTTTCATATCTTATCCCTGTCTGATGACCACACCAACTTACATTTGAACAGAGTTCAGTTTTCAAGGTGAATTCAACTCATTGTTTTCACGTGGGATTCGTGATGGAATGGGAGAGGGGTGCCTGTCCCCCATTTCTAACCAAGGAAATTAAGGCATAGAGAAGGCATATGACTGGTCCTAGTTCACAGATACAGGGGAAATCAAGCCAGGCCCTCATGCCTGCCGTGCAGTATCTCTGCCCTAAAAGAAAGGATGTTAATTCTAAAAAAAAAAGAAAAGAAAGAAAACAGAAGGGCTGCCTGTTTCTTAGGCAGACCCTCAGCACCCCATCCCCACCCTTCCTCAAGTTCCACTTCTTACTCAGTTCAGTGCGGAAGGTCTCCCGGGCTGTCCTCCACCCACAGGAGTCTGTCTCTCGCTCCAGGCGAATATTTTCCACCATCAGGTACAGGACACTCAGCAGCACCCTGGGGTTATAGGAGGGTCACAGGAGGTGCCCAGGGCAGCTCCCAGCCTACAGTCGGAGACCTCAGGGATGGTCTCTGTGGGAGCCCAAGCCAGTGGAATTAGCAACTTCTCCTTGTTTGGGTGCATCTGGGATTTGGGTGAAGGGTAACCCATTGCTAACCGCCCCTCCACCTCTGCCCCCATGCCAATCCCATGCCAGCCCACTCACCGGAGCTCTGTGCTGTCGGCGATGGAGATGGCTGGTTTCCGAAGAGCGCTGCTACAGGCCTGGCTGTTGCTGCCACAGGAAGGAGGGAGAGAACGAGAACCCAGGAAGGCCTCTTTACTCAATGTGTTCTCACTGATCACACGCAAACACGAGCACCTGCCATGCCCTGTTATGTAGCTCTAAAGAACTTGGTCTAAGGTAAAGGAGCCCATAGGATTCCTTGGCCACCTCAGCAAACCCTTATCTGTGGTGAAGATGGGCAGGGTCTGTGATATCCACTCCTCTTGTAATCCCTGCCGTGCTGTGCTAGACACAAAAGAGATGCTAAGCAACACCTGATGAATCATAAACAGGCTTCACCTTATCTAAAACTCCTGGGTGATGGACATGAGACAAAACGAGGCGTCACTACAGCTACAGGGATTGTCCCTGTCCCTCTTGGAACATGGTCTCAGCTGGAACAGTTTCCTTCATGGATTCCGGAGTCAGGCTAAGCTTAGAAGGTGTCTGGATAAAAAGGCAATTCACCCCAGGTAGGCGGGCCCCTGAAGCCCAGGACTGAAGCTGTAAGTGGGGCAGGAGCAGCTGATGAGACCAACCTCAGAGAGGACAGAATATCAGAGAGCATGGCTGAATGGAGGGAAACTGTCAGTGTGAGCCTTGGACTGAGGTATGAATAGACCCAGCTCCCCACAGAGGTCTCTATAGGAAGGGAACCAGCATAAGACATGAAACGGCCTTCAAGGGGATTGTCTAGGCCGGCCCTCCCCTAAGGCTTCTCACTCGATTTCCATGTGGAGTAGCTCCAGGAAGGCCGAGAAGGTCCCCATCTGATAGAGCAGGAAGCAGTTGTACCTGGACCAGTGTAGCACATCGACCTCTGAATCACATTCCCCAAAAGTGCCTAAAGGACAAGATAGTGCCATAGGGGTTGAGGGAGAGGGGGTATCCCAGTTCTTTCCACCCTGCCCCATGATCTTAGGACTATCTTCCAACACCCTGCCCAACAATTAGGCTGACAAAGGTAGGGCAAGGGCCCCCTAGAACTTCCCAGAATGAGGCAGGGGTGAGAGGCAGACTCTGGGCTTAGATTCAATGTGCTCCTCAATGGCCTGTCTTAAGTTTGAGTGCCCTGAGGAGCAGATCCAGATGAGAATTCAAATGCAAGTAGTTTATTTGGGAGTTGATCCCAGGAACCATCTGTAGAGAAGTGGGGAAGTGAGATAGGGAAGAGAAGGCAGCCAAGGGCTCAATCCCAGGTCAGGGGAGGCTCTGGGAAACAGTCTAAAACACACAACTCAGAATCATCCCACCCAAGAGGGGTGTGAGGCCGGGGGGCTTTTCATCCACTGACTCCTGTCAGTCATTGACGAGGGCTGCTGGACTAGGGGAGCACGTTAATGCCTTAGCACTCCTGGCTGCCCTACGTGGACTGCAGAGAAAGCCCTCAGGCACAAAGCTGGAAGTTGGCCATAGCGCCAGAACCAAGAGATGTGGATGGGCACTGCCTTATTTGCTAGTCTCCCCTGTGACCAGTTTCTACTCTTTCCTCTCCATTTATGATTCTTACATTTTAGCTCCTGACCATTCTGCCGACAGTCCTCTTATTTATGATCTCAGGGCTTATTTTTACTACTCCAGCTAGGCTATGTCATTTTCTTTCCAACACCTGGGTATTAGGTCTCTTCTGGGAAGCTTTCCTCAATTAATCTCATTGAGTTCTGATCATCTCCAAATTACTCACAGCATCTACTCCTGCTGCTCTGTTGGCTTGAACCTTCTAAATGCCAACAAGAAACAACGCAGCGGGTCGATGTGTGCATCTGTGGCATACCCTTGCCTCCCCTCAGAGTTGAGGCCAGGGCACAGCTGTTAAGGAGGCCTCCACGCTCGGCTGGTGGTACATCGTCAGCTCTGGCCACACTGACCCTCTTGCTAGTCTCCAAATACGATTACATCAGAGGTTAAGGAAAAAAGAACCCATGAGAAGCCCTGGCATGCCTGGTAAGAGAAAGGCCGATGCCAAGGGATGCAGAACAGGACCCACCACCTCCTCATCTTCTTCATAAGAACCAGGTTACTCCTAGCACATGACAAGATCTGTCCTTGAAAGGCAGGGACCCTGCTTTCCCAGCATGACTTGTCTTAATCTAGTCCTGATAACACCATTTCTCTCTCTAGTCTCCACCCCTCTGAAGTTGGTAAAGGTGGTCACTCACCTTGGGCCAGGTAGAGAACAGCCCGGGCCACCTTCAGTCGCCGCTCCCTACTGACCACCTCCAGCCGGTCCAGGAGTCCCATCACGTAGGTTTTCTGGGCATCTTCCTCCAACTCCAGCCACTCCTTGCCCTGCACTGGGGACAGAAGGCCATACAGATCCAGTGTCGGCTGCTGCCTCCCCTTCCTGGGGAAGCTCCGGATAGCATATCCACCTCTGATCTCAGCCCCCTACAAATCCTTCTCTTCAAAAGCTTTCCTTATTTAGCTGAGAAATAATAAGGGATGGGAAAAGTAAAGGACCCCAAATGTTCTGGCCTGAACCCACTCTGCAGTCTCATCTCCCCCCACACCCGCTCCGTCCTCCACACACAGCCCGTAGTGTCTGATCTCTCTGCCTTTCTTCAGGAGCTCCCTTTGTCTTCCTATATAGGCAATTCCTATCCAGCATTACAGATCAATTACAAAATTGCCTCTTTCCCACTAAATGCTTCCGCCAGCTCTTTTTACTTCTCGTATGACACCATTTTCCTCCTGGCTTTAGCTAGTTTTGTGATATACCCATCTTCCCTTTGCTACCAGACTATAATCTCTTGGAAGATGCTGCAAATTCACCTTCACCCCTGCCTCTTGAGTCTCTGTCACAAAACAGGTACTCACCACACATTCGTTGAGTTGAAAATTTAATTGCCACTGACCAAGTAAGGGAATTGAGGTCTGAGAGAATCACCGTGTGGGCACATGAAATTATTATTAAATGCTATGGAGCGTGAGGCAGAGCTAGAGACCAAGGAGTCGGCTGGGCTCGGGGTTCTACCAGGCGGCCGGGCACCCACCAGCCCCACCTGCCCATCCCTCTGCCCTCGTGTCCCGTCGGGGAAAGGGACCCAGCTCAGGCTTCTCTTGCTTCCACGGCCTCTGCCCTGAGATGTAGGAAACTCTGTGTCCCACATGTAAGAAGGGCTAGAGAAGTTACATGGTTATGGAGAGGATGAAAAAGGATCATACTTTGTTTCCGGCTTTTTCTAGATCAGGCTGGGGATATCATGGAGGGGAAAAGCAGGTCTCTATTGAATAAGGATCTGGGATCACCTTGAGTCTTGAAATCTTCTTCAAAGCACCTCCTGTTAGTGGTGAATTCCGGGTTTTCAGTGTAGCTATACAATTCTGTGGCAGGAAAGATAGGACAGAGTCACAAACATTTGTCAGACCCTTACGGAAGGGGTCTGGAGAAAAGAGGGTGGTATGAAAGAGCTAAAGCTTCCAACACATTCCTGTGTCCAAGTCAATCCAGAGCCAGCTTCCTCCCTTTTGGAGCAGTTAAAAATAGCCACTCATGTCCCTGGGTGATTAAACCATCAAACCTGTCCTCCTCCTGCCAGCTGGCTGCTACAGCAGAGAAGGCAGGCTTCTACATTTGGTGAGGGCCAGGAGGAGAGTTGGAGCAGAGAGGGCTTAATGTCATCACTCCTATTTCTTCGGGCCGCAACCACTTCTGCTTGTCAACCCAGACTAGGACTACCCCGTCTCTAGGGAAGAGGAGGGCAACACAACTCCTGAAATTTAGAGGCAAGATCCTTGTGCTGGTCAAGAAGCCAGAGTAAGGGCTGGAGAATATGTATTAGATGGCTCTTTAGGGTTGGCGCCAGTTCATTCTCTCCCTGCCGAGTTTCCTCGAAGCGTACAGAAGTTTAAGTTCCTGCCCACAGCCACCCAGGCAGCACTGATGGAGGCAGCATCAAACCACGCAGAAGCAGCTATGGTTGCCAAAGGGCTGCACGTGCCCAGCAATATCTAACTTCGCTGACAGTAGTCTCTCAATACAAAATTAATACAGAGAGCTTATGAGAAATAAAAATGCCCTGTCTCGCACTCTTTTTCTCTCTCTCTCTCTCACACACACATGCGCGCGCGCGCGCGCGCGCACACACACACACACACACACACACACATTCCAGAGTACCCCCATCTTACAGAGGATGAAGAGGAATCAATAGGTGGTAAAGCAGATTTCCTCAAAAGTCTGTTCTCTAACTGAGACCCTTGCTGGAAATTTAACTAGGTCACAGGTAATTTACAAAGCAAGAGAAATTCACTTATGTTTCAGCCAGCTGTCTAATGGTTGAGAAACACCTTGTCTGGGAACCAGGGCTTTTGAGTCCTGAGTCCCAAAATCCCGCAGTGACCAGAAGCAAGTCCCATCTCTGAATCTTAAATTCTTCAGTCATTAGTGGGTAGTGTGGATATATATTTTTTAAGAGTAGAGCACAAACCCAGTCAGAAAATGGAACAAAGCTCTTAGGTACTAAACTTTGTGTTTATTTTATTTTTAAATTTTAGATCATGAACTGTCACATACAGATAAATATAGAATACATATAAGACACCTGTGTATCTTCTACCCAGAATAAACAAGCATTCACATATTTGGTTCAGACATCTAAAGTTCCCTCTTCCCCCCCACCCCCAGTCTATCTTATCCCCTCTCTAGAGGTAATCATTATAATGAAATCAGTGTGTATACTTCACATGCTTATTTCTATTCTTTTATTACATACATATGTGCCTATAAACATATGATATCATTCTGTTTTAAAAGTTTTTATCCAAACAGATCATATTGTATATTTTTTCTTAGAAACATTTTTTGTCTTTCAGTAGTTTTTTACAAGAAAAACTGAACACATCCATTCACTTGACACTGCACTCAATCAAGTGTGCAACTAGACTTCCTAGAAACGTCTTTTAGACTCGTGTGTTTAAGCAGTTTGATGCACGTATAAATTATTTTGTCACTGCTTCTTTTCCCCTCAATGCTATGTTTTTAACATTTATTGATATTGAAACATATTGATATAGATCAATTATTTTAATGGCTATATATTGATATACTATAGGTTATTCATTCCCCTACTAAATTGTTTTCAATTTTTCACAATGGCTGCAATATACATCTTTGTACATGTTCTCTTGTGCCCAAGTGGTTTTTTAAAGTGTGCATCTAGAATCGCTGGGTCATAATATGTGTGCATCTTCAACTTTGCTAGATGGGACCAAACTGCTTTCCAATTTTATACTCTGCTCCCTCCTGCCAAGCAGCATATATTAATAAAAGTACTCATTCCTCTGGACCCTCACCAACCCCAGGCTTTTAAGTTTTGCAATCTGATTAATGTGAAAAAATATCTCATTATTTTAATTTGCTTTTCCCCATTTACAAATGTAGTTGAACATCTTTTCATATATTTATTGACCATATTCTATAAATTTCTATTCATATTCTTCGACCACTTCTCTTTTGGGTTGTTCCTCTTCTTTTCTCTCTTCTCTTCTCTATTTCTCCTTCCCTCCCCCTCACTCTCTCCCTGCACGTGTGCGCGTGCGCGTGCGCGTGCGCGCGCGCGCGCACACACACACACACACACACACACACACACACACACACACTGGATTCTAATCTTTTGTTGGTTATTAAACCAGCTCTCTATTTCTGTCACTCATCACAGAAAAAAATTATTCCCTGTGCTTATTCACAAGAACTTTAAAAACATTTGTCTCTTTCCTTTGAAAAAGCATGTCTCAAAGTGTCACTTCCATGTGACAGAATATTTAACTTTCACACCATCTCCACCCAAAGCTCATTTATTAATAACTGGCATTTACAGCACGTGTTACATGGAGGCCCTTAATGTGAGGAGATCACATTTAGCCTCAGCTAAAAATCCAGAAAGAGAGAAGCAGCCCACCACTGAGAGAAGAATGGGATCACTGAACTCCAGTTCAGAAACATCCTAGCAGAGCTCCACTATGATCGATATAAGGGACACGTCCAGCCTTGCCCATCTGGCCAGCTGTGTACAGAGTTTTTCTGTAGACATTGCTGAGATTTATTTAAGGGACAGAAGTTAGGGAAAGGGGGCCAGATGGAGGTAGAAAAGGAGAGATAGAATGGGATAGAGAAGGAAAGGGGTGACAGAAAAACAAAGGGGGTATGCAAAGATATGGGTGGATATGGGAAGAGAAAGAGAGGAAAAATGGGAGAAGAAAACATCTGAGAGTGCAGCAGAAGAGAATAAAGAAGGGTGAGCAGAAAAGTGATAGAATGAAAGAATGGAGAACGCCAAAGCCAAGGGAAAATTCACAGAAAGAAATGTGGAAGTGAACTAAGAGATATATACTGCTGGAGTGGAGAGAAGAGGGAATGTGGAGGACAGCCTTTGTTCTGCAGCCGCTTGCTGAGAACAGACAAGCTGCCAAGGGAGATGGCAAGCCCCTTCCATCTCCCCCCTGGCCATTGCTCCACCCTCCACAGACCCATCTACCGCATACCTGACAGCTCTGCTGCGTGCACATCTGCGTCTCCATATTCAAATTCCAGAGTGGGGCAATCCACAGAGCCCTGTAATGGAGAAACCTTTGTGGTAACTTGGGGAAAATGTTGACAAAAGGAGGTCATGCCCTCATATCATCCTCTTCCTCTCTTTAAGGACAATGTTAGATCAGGGAGGCAGCTAGGAGAGTCCCATCTGTGCCTTGCATCCAAGAGGTAACCTTCTACAAGCCAGAATTGGAGGCTCAGTGCAGGGTGGAGCTGAAGATTCCTGTACAGAACCAGAAACTCTGGGTAAAGGGCCAGGAACAGACATAAAGCTGCACTGCCCATATCTGACCTACATAAATATAAATCAGAAGAGCACCTAGCTGATCTCTAGAAAAACGAGATGGACAAAAACAAAAGAGGTGAACTGAATTCTAAACTCAGCTGTCATTAACCCATTGTATAATTTTGGGCAAATTTCATTCTGTGGATCATAGCTTCTCATCTGTAAAAAGAGACCCTTCACAGCTCTAATGTTCCATAACTTTAGGATTGTCAAATAAGATAGCATTTCTACTCCAAGTTGTATTAAAGGCTAGATTTTCCTATGATGTTGTACATATAAACTTATAATCTCATTTTGAAATATTTGTAATATAATCACCAAACCTCTTTAAGCATTTTGGGGTATTTCCTACCAGTGTGTGTGTGTGTGTGTGTGTGTGTGTGTGTGTGTGTGTGTGTGTTTAAAATTTTAAATCTTAGTTCTGTGACATACTCTGTCACATATTGTGTGGTCTTGAGCAAGTTACTTAAGCTCTCTTTTCTCAGTGTGGTATAAAAAATATAGCTGGTCTTTGCCCCGTTCCTGGCACAGAACTCCTAAACTTTTGGAATGTTCTGAGTGATAGGAGCGTCTGTTATTCATAAGGAGCCCTGTCAACCATATCTGAGTTTATGCTAATGAGGTGACTCACGGTGAGTCCTTAAGAGAGTTTCAGAGGGCTGGTCCCACCTCCCGGGAGGGAAGGACACTGGAGAGTCCAATTAGGTGGCCAACGGTTTAATACAAAAACCATGAAAGAATGAGGTTTGGGCACACCAATATGTTAGGAGAGTGATGCCCCTGCAAGGGCATGGGAGCTCTATACCACCCTACCCCCATACCTTGTCCTATGCCCCTCTTCATTTGGCTGTTTCTGAGTTGTATCCTTCATAATAAAATTGTAATCAAAAGTATAGTGCTTTTCTGAGTTCTGTGAGTCATTCTAGTGAATTATCAAACCTGAGGAGGGTGTCATGGTAATCCCTGAATTTGTCATTCAGGTGGCCTGGGAGCTCCACCTGTGGCAGGTGTCTAAAGTGGGGCAGTCTTGGAAGACTGGGCCCTTAACTTGTGGGGACTGAACTAACTACAGGTAGTGTCAGAATGGAATTGAATTGGTGTCAGGAAATTGTTGGAAAATGACACGCTTAGTTTTATCATCTGTAAAATGAGGATAATTCATAGTGTCATTGTAAGGACTAAACAAGTTAACATAGGAAAAACACTTAGCACATCACCCAGCACTTGGTAGAGTGGTTGGTTACTTAGAATTTTAGTTACTCTACTTACAATTTTAATATTATATTGTAAAGGCATTTTTCTCCTATTATTATCATCACTTTAAACAGTTAAGTGGAAAGACATCTATTGATTTATTTAACCAGTTCTCTACTGTGGAACATTAATTTTTTTTATTTTTCTTTACTATATGCGCAAAGCTATAATAAGATTAAAATTTTTTCGTCTTTAGGATCTTTCCTGAGGATAGATTCCTATAAAGAAAAGTAATGCATCAAACCATATGAATATTTATATGGCTTTTTGTACATGACAAGTTGTTTTTGAAAACCACTTTATCAATTTACACTGCCAACAAGGCAATCATGTTTAAATCCACTATAGGAAGAATTTCCAAACTTCTGGATTACAGAGACCAGTAAGAAAAAAAGGTGGAGGGTGGGGAATGACATAAGATTGTGGATGTTTTATTGTGATAAGTAGAGACTCAAAAAATCTTCTAGGGCTGGCTGAGTGGCATGTTGGTTAAGAGCTGGCTTGGGACGCCAGTTCTGAGCAGCAGGGCCCTGGTTCGGATCCCACATGAGGGCCAGTGACACTGTGCCCTCTACAGCTAAGATGGTGAACAACAGCTCAACCTGGAGCTGGGCTGCTGTGAGTCACTGGCGATGGCGTAGGCTGCAGCTCCTGTTGCAGTGGGCTGCCGTGAGCTACCGTGAGTGGCCAGCAGCCAGCGTGAGCTGCCAAGAGCTGCCGTGAGCAGCCGTCCAGTGGCCAGCGACCGATATGCCTCACCTGGGAGGAGCGCAATGATAATACCAAGATGGGCCAGTGAAGCGACGGCCTCCACAACTAGACTGAACAGCAAAAGAACAGCAACTTGTCTGTTCCTCTTCCCGGATTCCCCAATAAAATCTTTAAAAAAAAAAAATCTTAAAAAAAATATATTTCAAAAAAGAAAGAACAGCTTAATACCCCCAAAATGGGAAGGACACACTATCAGAATAAAAGAATCATTAAAAGCTCTGTTCTTCAAAACTTTTTGACTGTAAATCGAAGTATAAATAAATTTCACATCATGTCCCAACACACACACACACACACACACACACACACACACACACTGAAACAAAAGTTAAACAAAATATATTTACCATTATTGTATGTGATGCCCTGATGTTTTCTAGTATCTTATTTCTTAAAAAAATGGTCTCAACTCACAGGTTACCTCCTACAGTTTGAAAAACACTTCTCTGGGTGGTGAGCACACCATGTGATATATAGATGATGTATGATAGAAAGGTAGACTTGAAACCTATGTAATTTTACTCACCTTTGTCACCCCAATAAATTTAATTAAAAAAAAGAAAAACACTGTTTTAAATTGCATACATCCTTTAAATTTAATGTATTGAACTATATTTTATGAAAAAGTCACAAAAGTGCCCTGAATTTTCCTCATTTTGCTACAAACTTTGTCAAGGACTTTGGGAACAAATTAAACCAGGGGATCTGCCTGAAAGAGGCCTGAGGTGACTCCTTTGGTAGGTTAAGCATCTTTTTATTAAGCAAATAATTATTCTCTAGCTTCCTTTTTAGGTTGGAAGTTCATATACAAAGCACTGGGAGAGAATAGGTCAACAGTGCTGCCATAAACCGTGATGTCGGAGGAGTCTCTCTTGCCTGGTGCCAACAGTAATTCTCTTCCAGTAATTCTTTAGGAGCCCTAGAGAGGAAAGAAAACCATCTCCCCCCAGGACTATCTTCCACAAGAAAGCAAAAGGAGAGAGGGAAGGGAACGCAGATAGTCATCTGAGTCTGGCACCTGAGTATTGTGGTAACGGGATGTACTGACAGGTAGAAGCAGCTCTCCTGCTGCAGTGCAAGGTGGAGGAAAGCTAATCTTTCCAGCCAGCCTTTCAGCAGGCACTGAGCCCAGACAGAGAGGATCACTGCAGTTGTTCATTTCCAAGCGTGAAAAGTGCAGCTGCAGACAATCAGGAGGTAAACGGTGGTGCAGGTGGAAAGCTCTGAGTCTCTGGATATTGAACTCATTGGCAAAGGTAAAGTACTATCAGAGCCATTTCCTGAAGGAAGACTTGATAGGTAGGGTTCAAGGCCTCCCCGACGGCAGGAGGAGTTTTAATTCCCCCATAGAACATATCACTCTGAAATTATTTTATTTACTCGCATATTGCCTGTCTTTCCACCCCCACTAGAATGTTAGCTCCACAGGTCAAAGACCTTCTCTTGTTCATCACTGTATCTCTAGCACCTTAAACAGTGCTGGGAATATAATAAAGGTCTCGATAATTGTTGAATTAATGAATTACTCACCCCACCCCCACCCCCGGCCAAATAAAACATTTGAGCAAGAACAATGTCTCTATGGGGGGAGGAGGTACAGGGTCCCCATAACCATACTGAGGCAGGGAAGGAGATGATGTGGTAGATAGAACCCTGCCTGATCTAGCAAGGAGGGCTGAGCTATGCCTCTGAAAGGTGGTGTGATTTGGAGCCAGTCTTTTCAAACCTCCTCCACTTCTCTTTTTAAAAATGGGAATGGATTCCTACTCGTCTGTATCAAAATGGAAAGCAGGCATGAAATCCCTCTGGAAACTGTGAAATACTATTCCAATGGTAAACCAGGACTGGGACCCCGACGACCTGGCCTCTAGGACCAGCTCTGCCCCTTGAGGATGCTGAGCCTACAGTTCTAAGAGCGACTCTGAACTGTGCCTGCGCTGAATTAAACATCGTACATTCAATTATCTCACTTTGACTTGATCGCAACGTTCTGAGGGGGACACTGGCAACCTCATTTTACAGATGAAGCAACTGGAGCTCCTAGAGGTTTGGCAATTTGCCAAATGGCACACAGACAGTCAAGGGTAGGGCTGGGATTCAAAGCCCGCTTGGCTGACTCCGAAGCCTGGTGCTCCTGGCCACTCTGCCAGATGTATGATCTTGGGCAAGTTACTTCTGTCCGCTTTTACTTCTGCAAAAGAAAGGGTTAAACCCAGATGCTCTCTACAGACCCATCCACGCCTCACGTTTTGTGGTCTATGTTCCCGGTCCCCGCTCAGATCCAGTTCTGCTCCGGGCTAGCTGATGGAGGCTGGCTGGCTGAGGGGGTGGAGGAGGTGATGATAATCCGCTCCTTTCATCCTCTCGGTGAGGGTTTCTTTTCAGAAGAGGAAGCCACCCGAACACTCATACGCCTATCTGTGGGTTTGCATCCTGGGACAGTTCCATCCGCTCACTCCGGCACGGCCCCCGCCCGAGTCCTGAATCATTAACCCTTCCAGGTAGGGGTCCTGATGTCGGTGGAAGGTACTCCCTAAAGGGCCTGCCTGCGCTGGGGAGTGGGGGGAGGGGGGA